CAGGCTGGCAGCGCACCTGGGACCAGGCAGACGATAAAAAAGAACAACAAACGCCAGCCCCGCTTCGCTGTCTCTGCCCTGGGGCTGTTCGCTCTACTGGCGTTTGCTGCCTCTTGCCCAATTTTTCTCCATAATCCTCAGGGCTAGAGACAAGGGCGTGTCCACACTGCAGTTAGGTACCGTGGCTGGCTGTGCAGATGCAGGCTGGCAGCGCACCTGGGACCAGGCAGACGATAAAAAAGAACAACAAACGCCAGCCCCGCTTCGCTGTCTCTGCCCTGGGGCTGTTCGCTCTACTGGCGTTTGCTGCCTCTTGCCCAATTTTTCTCCATAATCCTCAGGGCTAGAGACAAGGGCGTGTCCACACTGCAGTTAGGTACCGTGGCTGGCTGTGCAGATGACTCGGCTTCCCACCAAGGGACTATTTAACTACCCATGTGTAGAGTTGGATGTGGGCTCATCCCACACCACAATTAAGCGATCCTCCCAGCCTGACCCTCAACAGCCCAAGTCACCTGGCATGGGTGGGTTGCAGCATTGACATACTGAAACTACAGTCTATGGCTACACTACAACTTCCCTCATCAGTGGGTAGAGTATATGAATTACTAAATTAGACACCACAGTGAAAAGCAGCCTGTGCCTGCTGCACCATGTAACCACAGGTGTTGGTGAAAGTGTTGATGGGGTGGAGAGTGGGGCTGCAGGGAAAGGCTGCATACGATGGAGCTGCCAAAACCTTTCTGTACTGCATCAGAGGGGTAGCCGTGTTAGTCTGAATCTGCAAAAGCGACGAGGAGTCCTGGGGCACCTTATAGACCCTGCTCCTACACTTCAGTTAGTCTATAAGGTGCCACAGGACTCCTCGTCGTTTCTGTACTGCCTTTCCCCTGCCAGAGGAGCCTTTCCCTGCAGAGAGGAAATTTTCAGCAGCAGGGAGGCAGCAGAACACTGCACTGCAATTTTTAGGGGAGGCACTGCTTGGTTGGTTAGAGTGCCATGTAGGGGACATATCCAAAAAGTTCAGGTGTGTTTTTACTCTGCCTATGCAGAAAACTCACCATCTATGCTACTATTTATATCTATGTTATACCTGTGCATAATGTCTGTATTCTATACACCAAAAGGAGTGTGCTGTGTAGATGTAATTTAAAGATTTCATAGTGTGGCCCATCACTGTAATAGCAATGGCCAAGATGCAGTGGACTTCATGAAGTCTCTATCCCTTCTTCCTTTTTAAGGTCAACTTTGTTTGGAATAGATTGATTTCTTTTTCTTTTTAAGTGGTGATGGAAGACATTTGTTAATAAAAGTATTGTTTGAACTATGATCATCACTTGTGTTGAAAGCCTTTCTTAAAGAGAATGTTGCTTTGCAACATTTCCTGAAAATAGTTTCACTCTCAGTTCACCTTATTTCTTCAGGAAGATTGTTCCATAGCCAAATCCCTTGAACAGTGAATGCTTTGTCCTCAGCTCTCACATGCTTTATCCTGGGCTTTGAGATTTCATTGTCCCAGAGTGACTCAGTTATCCTAATGGTGCAGAGATAAAAAATTAGTCTCTGATGGAAGTGCGGCTTGATCCATTAATTGGTTAGGAAATCAGGATCAAAGCCTTAAAACTAGCAATGGAAGCTGACTGGGAGCCAGTGAAGGAACTTGAACACAGGCTTTATGTGTTCATGACATCCCTGACCCCCAAAGAAGTCAAGTAGCCCCTTTCTGTACCAGCTACATCATCTGCATATTCAGTTTCAGATATGAGTTACAGTAATCCAGTCTGGTAGTGACAATACATGGATCAATATGGCCAAGTCGTTGTCTGGGAGAGAGGGACAAAGTCTCATATCAAGCTGGAGGTGAGAGAAGACCTTTTTGTAAACTGATGCTTTCTGGTTATACAAATTTAGTGAGGGGTTGAATAGAACCCTAAGGCTTCACACCATTTTGACAAATGAGGGCTGTGTGCTTTTGATGGAACGTAAAGATAATGACTTGATCAACTCTTCTAAGCTTTCCTTTTCGTTCTGACCAGCATCTGTTTGGTTTTACCTGGGTTTAGCTTGAATCAGCTACTCTTCATTCAAGAGCTGATTTTCTGTAAATATTCGGACATTTCAAAAGTGGTGATGTTGGTTGAGATATATAGTTGTGTCATTGGCATGCTGTTGACAGCTAAGCCTGTATCATCTCACTATCACTCCTAGTGGTCTCATGTAGATATTGAAGAGTAGGGGATAGTAGGGATCCCTGCAGGACCCTTAGGTATAGGTCTTTGAAGGGAGAAGAAATTACCCATCATACTCTGAGATCCCTTGGAGAGGAATCACTGGAGCCACTCATTCTGAGTCATTGGCTGTGT